GTCTGTAAGTCTATCTAGGTCCTCTTGGAGAAGAATGCAGTCTTGTATAGTATGGATAGATTTATAAACTTTAAGATCATCTGCATATAATAAAAATTTTGAGTTGAGAAAACAGTTACTTATATCATTAATAAACATTATAAATAACAAAGGCCCGAGAATAGATCCCTGAGGTACACCGGAGGTAACCATCGTAACGTTAGAGTGGTATCCATTAATTACAACCCTTTGACAACGGTTAGTGATATAAGAAACAAACCATCGTAACAAATTACCCCGAATGCCATTGTAAGCTATTCGATTTAGTAACATTTCGTGGTCCATTTAAATTATTAAATGTGTAAGATTTAGTTTATAATAAAAAAGAGGACTCTATCGCATTAGTTTCGACCTGTAAGGATAGATGTCTCAATAAATAAATAATTAAATAAAAATAAAAAATAAATAAATTTTACAGTTTGAGGTCTTTTGCTTCGATGACCCCCAATATGAGGGAGATTCGTCGTTGTCTTGTTATCGATTGCTATAATATAGTTCCAAATTGAAATAGCTGTCACGAAGACTAAGTAGTTCTTTCACTAATGATGTATACACAGTCGAACTAAATAGAACATAATTATTATTTTCTAACTGACATTTAAAATCCAAAAATATTAGGCAATTAGCTCGGGTTATTAATCAAACAATTGGAGCGTTGGGCATTGAAGGTAAAATCAAATACGGAAAACCTTTAAAAGATTTTATTTAATTAAATCAGTGTGTTCAAACACACAGTATATGAAATTATAAATAATTTATAGCCGTGGTTGTCGTCACTTGGTGTAACTCCATCTTATAATGGTCGGCACATGTACTTCCACTTCTTATTTTTCATCAGCTTCTAAGAATCCACGGCTGTACATGGCCTTCCCCCGGTGTCAATCATGGAGCTTAGTGAATGACGATCGATGACGAAAGCAGTATCAGACATCTCGCACTTATGATTCTACTTCTTGTCGCCAGTCGGGTGTTTTACGTCTGCGTTTGAACTTGACTGACGCGCTGCCGTGGGTCTATATAATGGTAATAAATACTGTCCGAATGTTTTTTTTACAGAATAAGGTATCACAGTCTACCTAATCGTAAGTAAATGATGTGGCTCATACACATCTAAATTTATCCTCGATTAAGAATCAAAATGCTGATGCGTTGTCAACCCTGATAACTAAGATGGAATGCCTCGTTTCCAGGAAGAAAGGTTTTCCCGTTCTGTACATTCATTCTACAAACACATCAGCAATAAACTGCTATATAACACTAGTATTCTGTGAGAGCGTGGTCTTTCCCCGGTCGAGCCGACCCATTCGTGCTACAACTATAAATTATAGCTGACTGCCTCGTTGGTTTAGTGGTTGTAGTAGTACGACTGGTGATCATGAGGTCTTGGGTTCGATTCCCGGGTCGGGCCAAAAAAAATTAAGTTTTTCCGTCAAGAAATTCTCAGTAGTTGCCCGGAGTCAGGAAGTTGGCGGTATCTCACCCCCGTGCCTCGGAAAGCACGTAAAGACGTTGGTCCTGCGCCTGATCTCTCTCCGGTCGTGTCGGTTTACCGTCCCATCGGATTATGAGAGTGAGGGAATAGAGAGTGCACCTGTGCTTGCGCATACACTTGGGCACTATAATCCTGTCCTGCGCCGATGGTTAGCCTCCGTTGAGGCAGGCCGCCGTGGCCGAAATTCGGTCTGGAGGACATTATTATTGGGGGGGTATCAATATAGTTTTCTCATCTGGTTGGGTTCTATAAATATATAATTATAAATGGAAATGAAAAGATAAATATACATAAATATCAATAAAATTAAATAAATATAAAAATACATAAATAAATAAAAGCCTAACCAAATGGAGGCCCTCGGCAGGGGAGACCAAACGGCCGAGGGTTAGGGGGAAAGGGAAAGAAACTGGCGGACGATGCGGGCGGTATCGAGGAGCACCGCCTTCTGCATTTGAGCTTGGAGCGGTCCGCCGCCTCAGATGACAAGAAAGACTGACTGGGATTAGCCTGTTTGCAGAGACGACTTCAGGAATAATTTCAGTCGGCAGACCACCCCACATGTCGGTCACCTCGTGAGCCAGGTCCAGATATTTTGTTTGCTTATCTGTTTCAGCTTTCACGAGGTTCTCGTCATACGGAATGGTAATGTCGACCAAAAATATCCTTGACTGTGCCCGGTCCATCAACACAATATCAGGCTTATTCGCAAGAATAGTCCTGTCTGTGATGATGGCCCGGTCCCAATAGAGCCTGGCGCGATCATTTTCGAGCACGGCTTCCGGCAAGTACTTGTAATACGGCAATTTCCGATCCACGAGACCGTATTTCAGAGCGAGCTCCTGGTGAAGAATTCTGGCTACTAGGTTGTGTCTGTACAAGTACTCAGAGTTAGAAAACACCGAACAACCGGAAATGACATGCCTAAGTGACTCACCGGGATGGTGACAAGCTCGACAGATGTCGACGGTGCCATCCTTTAGGATGTATCTCCGATAGTTGTTGGTCTTAATAAACTGATCCTGTATTCCCTACCTCCTGATTCTCCTGATTCTGTATTCAAAACCCTCGGTTTCCCCAAAGAGGTCACCAAAGCGTAACCAGTGGAGGGAGGCTACTGTGTCTACGAAAGGCTCATGTAGAGCCTTGTAGAACCTCCCGTGAAGCTCCTTCTCCTTCCATACGGTCTCCCGGTCGGAAATGCTCTGCACTGCTGGGTCTTGCCAATGCTCGTTGGCTAAGGATAGAGGGGTAAGAGTCCTTTATCACAAGAAATGACGTCCTTATAGAATGGATCATCCGATCTCGCCAGGAAATAATTACGGAGGCTGCACACTTCACGATTATGCATGGTGAGCGAAGCCACGCCCACCATGTTTTTGCGGCAAGTACAGCCTCATTACCGGCGATCTCGGATGATGTATCCTATGGGACGTCATGGTAGTGCGGACTTTTCTATCCAGGGCGTTAAGTTCAGTCTGAGTCCACCTGAGTATGCCAAAGGTGTACATGAAGACAGGCATGACCCAACCGTTATATGCGTGTGTCTTATTCACACTGGACAAAATGCTGTTAAGCACTTTAGTGAAGCGTGCATAAAACACATCGCAAACTGACTGTTTCATACCAGCCTCATCGATACCGATGTTCTTTGACATACCCAGGTATCGGTATGTTTCAGCCTCGGAAAGGGTCCTTAAGTTGACAGGCATAGATAAGTCTATGCCTTCAGAGTTAGCAACCTTTCCCCTTTCAACATGGAGGACCGCACACTTATCCGTCCCCAGCTCCATTCCAATGGAATTGCTAAATTTACAAGTGACGTTTAGCAATTCCATAAGATGGGAGCGACTGGGGCGAATAACTTGAGGTCATCCATATAGAAAAGGTGGGTTACTTTTGTCCCTCCTTTCCGTAGCTGAAATCCCCTCCCGGAGCCCTCCAGTAAGGTACTGAGAGGGTTCAGAGAGAGGCAGAACCAGATTGGACTCAGACAATCGCCTTGGAAGATACCCCTTCTTATCCTTATGTGGTTCTCCGCAGCCATCATCTGCTCGCCCAGATGACAAAGGATCGTACTCCACTGCCCCATAAACTGCTCGGGAAAGTCTCTACTGCAGTGGCGAAACTTCCATTAAAGCCGAAAAGCCGGGCTTGCCTTATTAAACCTGAATCAATCAATAATATCAATCAATAATATCAACTAATAAAATAACTCGTAAAATGTTTCAAGCTATTTCAAATTTCCCGCGCACTCCACTGTTCGACACATGTCGACCGATGACCTCGTATTGCCTTAGCGATACTGCTACTGTCATAAAAAATGAGTTTTAATAGAGCTAATAGTTGTCTCCCTCGCTCGCGTGGGCTTTTTACGGGGCTTTAGAGAAGACGATCGCTCTCTTTCTAACCTATGGCAAAATATTCTATAATGAAATATAACTACGATTGTATATATAGCAATTAGTATAGAGATTTAAAGCCAGGCTTTTGGGAATAAATTTGTTAAAAGCGGAGGCGCGCGGGCAATACGTTTGCAAGTTCATTTCACGTTTCAATGTTTATTTACTCTGTGTACTTATCTTAAGCGATTTAATATTACGAGTTCAAAGTTTATGCTTTTATAAAGATTTTTAATGAAAATGGAGGATAATAGTGTTCCTTGTGATGAATTGAGGTGTGTTAAGGTGATAATCGGAGAGGAAATCTTTAAACTTTTTTGAGATAATACACAAGGTTAAGAGTGTATTTCAGACTTATTAATTATCGCAATTAAAAACAGTTATTGGTACAATTAAAACGTTCACCAACATTTTACGTGGACGTAATTAAATCTTTCTATATTATCTTATCTCTTATCCATTTAAATGTAAATAATTTTTTTTTAATTTTGTACATTGTTTGTACTTTGTTCGTGTTTTACTTTTGTTCATGTATTGTATTGGATGTAAATATATTTTTCTTTCGCTTAAACAAACCCAAACGGCTTTTTTCAAAGCCACCGAATCTATGCAATTGCTGATATGTTATACAATCTATCTAGCAGTGGTATGCCTTCTGTGTGCTTTGTTAAACACGTCCTTGACAGCACTGAATATGAAACAGAAGCGTGGAGACAGATCAAGATTGGTGTATTTTTATAAAACTGCTAAAAACAACAATCTTTATTTTTATCAATTTATATCCCGGGCTTCCCCTAGCTTGGAGCTCTAGCTTCGCCACTGTCTAACTGTACAGTCTATCTTGTACATCTCGAGGACTCTCTTTAGCCATGTATGGGGCACCGAGTCGAATGCCTTTCTGTAATCTATCCAGGCGGCGGAGAAGTTCCAACGGTTGCGTTTCACCACTTTGCCAATGACCGCGTCAATGAGGAGTGGTTTCTTGGTTCCACACCCACCAGCCCGACATCCATTTTGAGCGCGCGACATCACCTGATTTGATTCCAGGTGACGAGTGATTCTCGCGCTCAAAATGGATGTAAGTGTCTTGTATATGGTCGGTAGACACGTGATGTGGCGGTATTTGCTTGGTCTGTGGTACCCTGGTCTTTAGGAACCAAATGGATGACCCCTGTAGTGAAGAGGCTCGGGAGCGACTTCTGGTTGAGAGCCTCTTGAAACTGTCGGGCGAGCACAGTGTGACACACCACGAACCCCTTCAGCCAGTCGTGACGCAGCCCGTCGAGTCCCGGACTTTTCCAGTTCGGGGCCCTACGGACCGCCTCAGCTACGTCATCCAGTGTTATAATGACGGGGTCCATGGGCGTTATACTCGCACACTGACTCGCCACAACCTCCGTCCAAGGGCCCTCGCTGTGGTTTACGGGCTCTGACCACAGGCCGCGCCAGAATGCTACAGTGTCGGCCTGATTCGGTGCTGGACCCATTCCACTTACCATTGGTCGCTCCAATGATTCATAGAGCCTCTTCTGATCACTCTGGAAGAGACGATTCTGGCTGAACCGTGTCGACCTCTCCGCTTTCCCCAAGCAGCAATTCTCTGCTTCAGATCATCTATGCGCTCCGTCAGTTTTTGCGTTATATTCGGCAGGGATAAACAGACATTTGTCCCAGCAAACGCCATCCTGACGGTGCGCACAATTCTTGGCCTGTTATTGCCTGATCTGAAGCATATCAGTCTGCCGATGAGAGCTCTAGTCTTTGCGATACGTTCCTCAATTCTTCTTCTCCATGTTGGGATAGCGCTACTTTGGCTATAGTACGGCAGACTGCCAGCGCGGCGCCAAAAAGAATTGAGTCCGTCTCGCAAAGGTCCCAGCTGGCTTCCAAATAGGTCACCAGCATTGGGTTCAGAGCCCCCACGACAGCCCGATTCCGCTTGCTTAGGGCTTTGCGGGGAAGTCGCGGTCGATTTTCGAGAGGCGTACTGCGCGTTTCCACAATCGCCTCTTTCAATGTACTCCTCATTTGCTCTATTTCTAGCTCCTGGGTGAATGTTCCATCATCATTTGAATCAGCAACCACTGGGGTATTCACGGCGGCATCCACGTGTGCGGGTTGTTCTGCAACTTGTGGCACCGCATCCTCAGTCGTAGCATTTTCATTTGATGAGGGAACAGCCTCACGTCGTAGCCGTTCGAGTTCGGCGCCATCAAATATATTTGAGCGTAAGATATACCGAACTCGGTCTGCCAGGTTTTGCTCGGTGACGATAATAGATAGAAAGAAGAAAGAAAGAAAGAAAACATTTATTGCTCACATACGCCACATGTACATTTAAACCATAAACATAAAAAATACATAGTAAAAAGAAAAAAAAAAAGAAGAATAAAAAAAATATTAAACATATCACACATTTTACGCACACAAGTGTGTGTGGCGTACACGGCAAACAGACCGCACTCAGCTTAATGCCGCAGTCGATACGAGACTACAGCGCTGGTTTTCAGTGGGCCTGTGAATTAAGTGACGTGCGGACGTTCACACCTCCGATAGGAGTAATAGTGTTCTGTGGTTCACACCGTCATTGGTAGACTAATAATAATTAACATAGATTATATGAATGAACTAACTGGATCTAATATAAAGAATGTCCGAAACATTTTAAAAAGTATTGTTATCACCATAAGAGTCATGTATCTATGAGGTATGAGTTGGAAATACTATAAAAGAAGTAACACTAAATGATGGTACCCTACAAAAATATTTTCTCACAGGTATGTAATCATAAACATAATCTTAAGCAACAATATTATCATTAGAAACAATATTTTAATAAAGTTAATAATGATTGCACGTTAAACATATACTTGTATCATAGTTATAATTAATAGCATGAATAACACTTTTATTTCAGCTAAGTATCAAAAAAAAAAAGATAGCTCCAGCTCAGTAAAAAGACGATGCATCCTAGCCCGATACGCGAAACCTCCAACTTCTCCCCCTTTCGCCCTAAAATACGCCCACAATGCGTTTGTATTCATATTGATGGTCCATCGCATGCGGCGTACTCCACCAGTGGCGGGTGCCGATTGCTGAGCCTGCGAAGACCCTGCCGACACCAAGCAAGCTGGTGTCGATGATGGATGCGAGGGGCTGCTGGGTGGTCTTTCAGCGCCTCGCGCTCGGCTGGCGGTTCGCATGCTGTCGCGTCCAGCGCCAGCTCCAGACGCGCCCTGGCGACCTCCAGGCAGCGGCCTTTTGCGCAATCTTCTGTGTTCCATCATCCATAGTGGGCGTCATTTAACGGGAGACGCCCAGACCCGGCGCCGTTTCAGTTTTGTCACATAACCGTCACGTCAGCGGGCGATGGGGTCGTCACTTCCCTACGCCTTTACAAACATTATTATTATTATTATTTATTCTGTAATCCATAATTTATTGTGTGGTATTACTCCTATCAGCAATCACGTTAACGACCACTAGATCAACTTGACAGTCATGACGTCCCGGGTCGGGACAAAATCCGATATTGGGGTTTTCTGTCAAGAAATTCTCAGCAGCAGCCCGAAGTCAGAGAGTTGGCAGTGTCTCACACCAGTGCCTCGGAAAGCACGTAAAGCAGTTGGTCCTGCGCCTGACATCTTTACGGTCGTTTCGGATCACCGTCCAATCAGACTATGAGAGTGAGGGAACATAAAGTACACTTGTGCTGCGCATATACTCGTGGACACCACAATCCTGTCCTGCGCTGATGGCTAGTCTCCGTTGAGACCGGCCACCGCAACCGATATTCGGTCTGGAAGACATTCTTTCTCTTATATTCTGGAAGTGATTACTATACGTTGTATTACTATATGTTGCTTACCGTGTAGTGGCAGTGTAACAGTATCCTTGTGGATATTCTTACACAGAGTAATGTATGTAACGTGTTTTTATTTTTAGGAAGAAGCCGCTTCTCGTCTCGTGATTCATTTGTCTCTGTCGCCTCTTAGTAATTCCAATATTATTCCGTGTGTGTCGTAAGAGACGACACAGGTAAATGAATCATGATGATGCCATGATGGCATGTCCATGTGAAATGTATGTATGGAATCTGTTACCGCTACAGTTTATTATAGTCCACTGATGAACACAGGCCTCCTCCATAGATTGACTCATAAGGGGGGATATTTGTCATCGTTGCCACGGGATAAAATGGAGAAGTCCCATATCATCCCGTGGGTGTCGTAACAGGCGAAAGGGGAGAATGAATCAGGAAATGAGCAGCGGCTTCTTCCTAATAACGACTAAAAATAAAAAAACGGCGGTTGCCAGTCCGCTTGCCAAGCGTGGCAACGATAACAAATATCCCCCATATGAGGCAATCTATGGGGGAGGCCTATGTTCAGCAGTGGACTTTAATAAGCTGTAAAAGTAACGAGTTACATACATAAATTTCACATGTGCATTTCATACATACTTATATGAACCGTCATTTGTTAGCCATATAAATGTTTGTTTCGTGTGGGGTTCGAATCCGCTGCACGACTGATCAAATACATAGCCAATGCGTTACCGAGCCATCACAATTTTTGTTATTCTTTACACACAATTGCTTTTTCGTCGTTGTTTGATTACTCACAAAAGTAACAGTTTTTCTACGATCGTTCCGAACAAATTGAACGCTTCCTAAAGACAAACCGTCGATCTTCGCAAATACAAAATGGCGGACTTGCTCCAAATCAATATAATAACATATATTTTTAAATTTCTAAGACACGGAGATTTTCATACTATGTATCCATGCACCATCAAGCACTGAAACTGAAAGCGTTCATGAAATTGCAATTAATAATTTCAGGTGGATAGAACAGCTCGAAAGCCCAGCCCTGGCATACCATGAGTCTTTTATATAATATATAACTTTTGCTTGTTTCTATATTACATAATGTATTGGTCAATTTCGACCACGGTGACAATTTTTGAATATTCGAACGCTATAATAGTAAGTACAAACACAATGGCACGCACTTTTCTAAACCTGCGCGTATTTGTTGTAACTTTGCGGTTCGCATGCAGTATCGGTGACTTATGTAGAATTCAAACAACCAGCACTGTGGTTATATAACTCTGGTGTGAATCGTTACCGGTGGGAATGACTCTGCAACTATGTTATATTATTTTATTTCTTTATCACTTAAACTTAAAGTTAGGCCTATATACGCCCCACAGCTGGGCACAGGCCTCCTGTCATTTCTGAGAATTTTCTTTAGGGCAAGGAAATGTCCGTCGCACTGCTACGATGCGTGTTGAAGAACTTCAAATAACCTCGAAATATTTTTCTCTTGTTTCTGATACATAGAGGGTTCCTCGCGATGTTTTTCTGCACCGCTGAGCACGTGGTAAATCAGCACTTAAAATTTTTTATGTATTAACAATTTTATTGGTGCCTGCAGGTTCGAACAGAATCGAACCCAGGTTGCTTACTATTAAAAACGCAAACAGAATAAAGAGTTCAGTTAAAAATTAAAATAACAGCTTATATATGGCCCACGCCTGAGTATAAACATTCTCATATCGTTGAGAGGGTTTTCTTGGGACGAGGAAGAGTCCAACGCGCTGCCTTTGAAGTGCTGCCCTAACACATTTGCCCTCTATACTTAAATTTTAAACCTTGGATTTAGTGATAAAGTCCATGTTATTAATTTATATTATTATTTGCTAAAGAAATTCAAAATTTTTACTTTATAAAAGAAGTTTTTTTATTATGTTTACGAATGGTGTTAATGAAATTTCATTTTTAATGGGCATACTTAAATAGAACAGAATTAGTCGTAGATTTAGCTTTAACATTTACCGACAGGTGTCACTGTTCACTGCTTATGTACTTATGTATGGACTCCTAAACTACTTAACCGATTTTAATCAAATTTGCACACCGTGTGCAGTCTGGTCCAACTTGAGGATAGGATAGTTTTATTTTGCCCATGAGTGACCCACAATTTGTTTGCTAATTTAAAGGATTTTTAATAGGACATGACAAAGGGTCGTCGAAAAGGGCAGAACAACGTCTGCCTGGCAAGCTAGTATCCTTATTATAATATAAAAGATATCCTGAGTGTATGACTCATCTATTAACGTATAGACCAAACCGCTAGATGTAGAAATCTGAAATTTGGACATTAGCTACATTTTATAACGTAGATATTCAATTAGAAAGGATTTAGGAAAATTCGATCCTTAAGAGGGTGAAATAGTGTATTACATAGTTTGTATAAAAAAAATATTTTACGGGGCGATTGACGTCGATTTCAAAAGATGTTCAATGTTGTATAGAGAGAACATGTTTAATGCTTTAAAGCAATAAAATTTACCGTTATGGTTTTAAAACAAGGGTGCAAATTTAGTACAGCAATTTTGACGTACGGTTCAATTCACTGGACTTAGAAGCGTGAATTTGAGGCAATAATTTACTTTTATTACGTTAGCATGCACTGGAAAAGATTTTGAAAATTCAAACACTTAGAGGATAAAATATCGTATTCCAGTTTAAAAAAAAACATTTTTACTAGGCGATTTCAAAATTTTATTGAGAAATATTTTTAAACGATTTTTGTAACTTGTAAATTAGCACGCATACTTGTGGATTAATGATTTTTTTTAGGTAATTGCTGAAATCACATCTGAAACACAAAGTTTGTGTGGGTAAAAAAAGTTTTAATTGCATGATGGTGGGAAAATTCGTGAAACGAAATTATAATATTTATGAACAATACATATTTTAGCATTTTACAAAAATCTGCCCCTATTTAACCCTTAAGAGGTGGAAAATTGTTCTATAAAACAGTAAAGTTGTCTATTTATCATTGTGTATAGATTAGTTATTAAGTTTAGCTACTAGATGACGATAGTGTTGAATTAAAGGAAGGTTTTGCTACCGCCATAGGTTATATTAAAAGATTTAAAATATTATTTTCTTACGTTTTTGAATAATTATATTTTATTATATAATTAATTTATATTTTAAATATTTCTGTTTTTGAGTA